CTGGACTGGCTATTGGTGCTGCGTTATCAGGACTTAGGCCAATTTGCGAATTCATGACATTTAATTTTTCCATGCAAGTGAGTTATCGACATATGATTTATTGATGAATGAATAATAAATAAATCCAATAATCTTTAATTAACATTTAATTAATTATTAAGGCAATTGATCAAATAGTTAATTCAGCAGCCAAAGTTCATTACATGTCTGGTGGTCTTATAGAATGTCCGATAGTTTTTAGAGGTCCTAATGGATTTGCAGCTGGAGTGGGTGCACAACATTCTCAAGATTTCGCAGCATGGTATGGTTCTATTCCAGGGTTAAAAGTTGTATCTCCGTGGGATAGCGAAGACTCAAAAGGTTTATTAAAGGTGCATTGTTATAATAAATAATATAACTGCTAATAATAATGATAACAGTAATCAATTACTAATAATAATTATTTTTCAAATGGTATTATTTATTTAAAGGCAGCAATAAGAGACCCTAATCCAGTAGTGGTATTGGAGAATGAACTTCAATATGGTATTTCATATCCGGTATCACAAGAAGCATTATCAAATGATTTCATCTTACCAATTGGCAAAGCAAAAATTATAAGAGAAGGTAAAGATGTCACAATTGTGTCATATTCTAGATCGCTAAATTTTTGTCTCGAGGCAGCTCAACAATTAGAGAAAAAAGAAGAGGGTGGGATATCAGTTGAGGTGATCAATTTGCGATCAATAAGACCACTTGATGTTGACACAATAGTCAAGTCGGTCAAGAAAACTAATCGGTTGATATCAGTTGATTCCGGATTTCCCCAGTACGGGTTTGGCAGCGAGATATGTGCTATAGCTATGGAAACTGAAATTTTTGATTATTTAGATGCACCAGTGGAAAGAATAACCGGTGCAGGTAAATATATAATTTTTATATTTATTATATATCAATTCATATACAAGTATTTTAATCACCTAATTATTTGTTTATCGATTAGATATTCCTACACCATACGCAGTAAATCTTGAAGATTTAAGTTTTCCTAATACAAAAGTTATAAAAAAAGTAGTTAAACGCACTTTAAATAGGAAAAAATAAAATTTTTATATTTGCAATATTATTTATTATTTATTATTTGAATAAAACTATTTTTGGCATCCTAAAAATTGTAAATTATGTATCATTTATATTTTTTTACAAGACAAATGATTGATGCATTAAATGGATATTTAAAATGATGATATTTAAAAATGAAATGAAAATATTTAATTTTTCCGTTTTAAAATAAAAAATTTACATAAATAGTAGCATAGTAAATAACAATAAATTATATTTAATAAATTGTCAATTCAGTTCAATGTGATGCAGTCAAATGTACTACTATCCGCCACCCAATCACAAAACTTGAACTGCTAATATTAATCATCATCGCTACTGTCTCCATCTCCATCGCTATCATCGCTATCGTCGCTATCACCACCAGATTTTTTGGCTTTCTTTTTATTATTAGCATCATCATCATTACCAGCATTAGCAATTGCAGCAGCAAATCCTTGTTCTCTCATTAATTTCATTTGACCTGCCAAAGAATCTTCTTCAGGTTCTGATATATCATCATCAACTTCTTCTTGTGGTGGAAGTTCTGAAAAGTCTTTTACGTCCAACTTATATATACATATAATGTAATATTAGTATGTATAAATATATATTTTGTTACATATATATTTATCATTGTTTTTATCATACCTTCATATCTTTTTTAATATCAGCACCAAAATATGAATCACTCTTAAAATAAAAGGTGAAAGAATATAAACCAGGTTCACGAGGAGCTTGGAATTGAAATTTAAATGTTCGCTTGGTTACAATATCAGTAACTTTGACTGGTTCAATGATTATTCTATCATGTTTTTCATCAGCCATGAAAATCCACCAGTATGGTTTTTTATCACGTGCCAAATAAGGTGCATGTACAAAGTCGCTCTTCTCTTTGATTTCTTTTCTTTTTGAACTGCCAAATAATAATTCATCCTCGCTATTTAGATAGTCTCCTCCTCCTTCCTCCTCCTCCTCATTGTCATCATCATTTTCATTTTTTTCATTTTCATGTTTTATTTTTTCATTGCTAGAATTATTATTATTGCTATTTTTATCATCTCCTTCATTTTCATCATCACCATCCTCGTCGTCTTCATTATCATCATCCTTAACTTGTGTTTTATTTGACTTATTATTTTTAACATTATTGATATTTTTACTGACTGCTTTAGTACCAGCAAGTTTAACTTTTAAAATACAAGTTACAATTGAACCAGGTGTAATTATATCATCTCCAGTAACTATAAGAATTATATATATTAATAAATTTTGAATTAATTATTGATTAATCATTAAATTTTTAAACATCATCATAATACCTTTGAAAACTGCTTGTACAATTTCTAGAATAGGATAAGAATTAGCGACATGTAAAACTGTTCCATATTCTAAATCTGATAATGACTTTAATAAATTCCTGCAAAATAAATAATAATAAATAAATAAATAAATAAATAAATAAATAAGATAATATTCACAACAAAAAAAAAGTCATTATTAATAATTAATTTACCTTCGTTCTTCTTCGTTCATATTTCTAAATTGCCCAATATTTCTAATCACTTTTTTCTTAATCTTCATCGCTTTTAATACGTCAATGGTTATATAAGGTAACTGGATCAGTGGATTATCATTTATCCACATCGCTTGCACTAACAGTTGAGAAAGTTCCATGCACCTAATAGTTGTTTGTAACCAACGATGTGCTAATGCTATTTCCAATAAACCATTTACAAGGTGAACAGATCTTTCAATAATAAAATATCTATCTATATGTGATATATATGATTTGTGCATCATTTGTGAGTATTAATATCATTAATTATAATAAATGAATAATAAATCATTTACCTTTTAACAAATTTTTGTCTTTAATGTCTATTCTTAGCAAATGTGAATATGTCAATGCATTTGCTTTTTGGGAATACGGTGCAATATACTAGCAGGAACAAAAATAAAAATAAATAAAATAATAAAAATGACAATTAATATTCATTTATATGATATATATATATATATATACATGACGCATAATGTATATAAAAAAACACGATAAATAAGCCTACCTTTTTACTTGTTAAGTATTTATCACTAAATCTTTTTTCTAGATCTTCTTTAACAGATGAAATAACCGTTGTAATCAATGCGTTGTCGGAAGACCTTTGTTCAACTAATTCCATAAATTCAACTGATGCAGAAAGAAGTTCTAATATTTGTTTGAAGCTGGTGTTTTGCCTTAATTCTTTAAAATAAAGATCCATGGTATGTGTTCTGATTCTATCTTTGGTGTAACTATTTGAGCTGTACCACCAACTTCCCTAATAATTAAATAGCTTGTTAGTGAGTATTATTATCAATTGTAATCAAATAATTATTACAATGGTAATTAAACGGCACGATCGCATACCACATAATAAGGAAGTAATAAACCAAACACAATTCCATAAATTCCAAGTACAAAAGGACTATTTTTTGATTCAACCAACCAAGTTGGAAGTGCGATTCCCAATGAATATGCTATTAATTAATTCAAAGAAAGGCGAAAGAATACATATAAATATATAAATATTTTTTAGAGTTGTCAATAATTAATTTTTTATTTGATTAATTAGGTAGTTGGCCAGTAATTAATTACCTTGCTTTCCATCAGGATGTCCATATTCTTCGTAATTTTTACGTATGTCATCATCTGTCAATCTATTTTTTTACAAGAAATAAATCAAATATATATAATCAAATATATATATATATATACATGCATATAGGATGAATACATACACTTTATACGCTTTAGTGAAATCTATAAATGTTTTTTCATATTCATCTTTTTTATCTGATGGAGCTTTATCAGGATGCCTAAAGTCAATAATCAATCATTTATTAGTAAATAATTTAATAGTTAATTAATATTAAATCAAGACACTTGCCATTTTCTACTCAGTTCTTTATAATGTTTCTTAATAAGTTCTAATGATGACGACTAAATAAACAAGTATAAAGAAATCAAATCAAATAAATTAAAATCGTTCCTTCCTTCATTTCTTACTTTTCCTAATAATTAATTGAACATTTACTTCACTGAGTCCAAGCACTTCGTAAGGATCCCAAACCTCCACTTCAATTTTAACCGTTGCAACTCTATACATCAAGTATGCAAAAACTATCCATCCAATCACGACTCCTACAAATCTACAAAGATCGATTAATCAATTCATCAATTCGTATCATTTCCACGTAATTAAATTAATAATTTTATCAAAAACTCTTCTCTATTACTTTTTATCTATACGTGAAAGCAAGCTGCCCTTTTGTTTTGTTTTCAACCAAACCGTTTTATTAGTACATGCATCGCACGTACAAGGTGCTTTACGAAGATTATCATCTAACAGCAGCAAGAAAAGGAGGAAATGGTAGGAAGTGGTGGAAGTGGTGGAAGTGAGTTAAAGAAGAAAATAAAGACAATAATCTCCCTTTTAACATTATTTTGTTTTACCTTTATTTGATCTGAAAATTAAAGAAAAAGTACTAGGTAATAAAAATATCAATAGAAAAGTCAAAAGAAAGTAATTGAAAGTGGCGCCCTGTTCGTCATATACGTATTGCATCCTTTATATTATAAATACGATCGAAAGGAAAATTACAGTTGAATTTACGGTAAATTTTTATGAAAAAAAATTAATCAAGCGTGGCGCATATTGATTGGGCAATTACACCATGTTTCCAGCCTCGTTTATAAAACAACCTCTAATATCTTACCTATAAAGGAAAAGACATCACCTTTTTGGGGAAAGACTCCAATTTCTTTAATTATGAATGAATGAATGGGCCAATGTTTTCGTGTAACATTATCAGACCCCAAATATTCATTTTCTGATAATAATAATCTAATTTTTTTTTTGTTTTATTGATATATTAAGATGGTAATAAAAATTTTTAATTATTTTAAACTGTAATTAGGATAATGAGCAATGATAGATAATTTCTTTCAAACATTATTAATTATTGCAATATATATATATAGGCTAAAAAAGAAGCAGCAACTAAAAGCTCCTCATCCGGAGGTAAAAATAAAAAAAAGGTAGCGTAGATAAATTTACCAAGATTATAAAATAATTTTTGCCTTTTAAATTATATTCACCAAAATTTAAATGAATAGAAATGGTCTAAAGGAAAAGTTAAAGATAAAGCAAACAACGCAGTAGTGTTGGATAAAGCTACGTACGATAAATTATTCAAAGAAGTACCAGCATATAAATTAATTACACCTTCTGTATTAGTTGACCGTCTTCATGTCAATGGATCTCTTGCAAGAGTTGCAATTCGTGAATTGGCAGAAAAAGGACTAATCCGTAAGATTTCCACTCATGGGTCTCAACTTATCTACAGTATGTATAAATAAACAAATGACTTTTAAATAATTTATTTTGATTTGAAATTCACTTTTTATTTATTTATTTATTTCAATGATTTAGCTCGTAATCCTGGTTCTGCTGCTTAATAATCGAAATTATTATTATTATTATAATGAGAATTTTCTATTTTGATATATATTATATTTTTAAAATGTTTACTTTTTAAAAAAGAAAAAAAAATATTAAATAAACAATTAATAATTTTTTTATTATTAAAATCATATATATATATATAAATATATTCTTTTTATCTAACGATATTAACATTATTAATACTATTATCAAAAATGAAAAAATTCTCTGATTCATATATAATGAATTCTAGGTCTTGATATTTTTGTAATAATTCAATTGTTTCTTTTCTTTCTATAGAAAATGCATCATATCGATAATTTCTTATTTTAAGAGGTTTAGGCGCTTTCCAATTTTTCATCAAATTATTCAAATAATAATTATCTTTATTATCATCAGAAATACTATATAAACCATCAAAAATAATAGTGTTTAAATTATTTGGTAACGACAGACTTAATGCTTCGAATATTCTATCACCATCTATAACCATATTATCTGGATGAAATTGAATGCTTTCTAATTTTTTACAATTATTAAATATACAGATTAGTTCCCAGTTTAATGCTTTCTTATTATAGGTTATTGCTAAATGTTCTAAATTTACACAATTTTTTGCAATTGATTGAAACATTTTTTCCATGTTCATTTTATCATTTGCTTCACCACCAATTTCTAAAACCTTGAGATTTTCTCCATTGATTTTCAAAAAATCAGATAACTCCAATAGAAATGGCTGATAAAAGATTGTTATACAAAGGACTTCAATATTTGGAAGTACAACAGATTTTATACTTGATATTTTATAATTATTATCTGATCTTCTGTTATAATCGTGTAATGACAACTTCTTTAAGTTTTGAAATGTTGCTATTAAGGAATCTATTTTGGCCTCACCAATACTTTTATAATGAAATATTGATTGTGAATGAGTTGAAATTGCTTGTTTCAGGTCATCGGATAAAGATATAGTCATTTTATAGGGTACATTGACAGACAATTGTTTAATTTGATTTTGAGCATGAATTAATTGAGCTAGGCTACGATAGACATCTTCTTCATTATACAAAGGATTTTTAATACAACCATCTATTTTTAAAATTTGAATATTTTTACAATAATTTGCTAATTTGTCAAAGAACTCACAATCATAAAAATTAAGTTGTAATTCAACAAGACTCCGAAAACAAATGCCAAAGCTAGGATGATCAACCATCCATTTACAATCAAAACTAGAAATAGCGCTAAACATCTTGATGTTGGTTGAATGATCTAGAATAAATTTTACCAGTCGTACTTTTAAACAATTAAGTTCATCAGAATTTTTTGATTTTATGCTCAAACTCATAATGCCATGAATAGGACTATACCTAAAATCCAATCGAGTAGCAAACCTTGCATAATTGTATAGCGGTGGTCTGTCTGATAATTCAAAAGCTTCCAAAATGTTGTGTTTCACCAAAAAATTTTCGTCTTCTTCTAATAAACATTTGATTAGTGTTTTGATGCTGCCCTCTGTGCAAAAGGGATTTCTCCATATTTTTGGAATATTGATATTTTGCCATTGTTTATTAACTCGAATACATGAGTACAATGTTTTGTAATCATTTTCAAAATATTTGAATATTGTAACGAAAAGTTCTAGTGGTAAAGTTGTTGAGAGCATTTCCTTTAAAATTAGAAGATCGTAATTTATTTCACAGGCTCTACAATTTGCAACGGTGACTCGGAGAAATACACATCTATCTGTACAACATACTAAGTTCTTACCTTTGATATAAACAGAAACAAATTGTTGAGTTAAAAGTAACAGTTGCTGTTGTTGTACTACCACTTGCAGCCATTACTATTACTGTTGAAAAAGGGGTTCAAGCCACATTTCTGTCCTTTTCAAGTTTAGTCGTGAATAATAGAAAAAGACAGGGGTGATCTTCAAAAAAATAAAAAAGACGTGGGTGGGTAGTTAATATTAACGTGGAGCTACGTAATTTTAGAAATAGATAATTGCTCGCCTCCATTTACTTATTATCTAAAATCCTGATTATAATAAAATCGAGATTAAACCACTTCAAGTATTTCACAAGTAAATTTACGTTCAGAGCTAAAAAAATATATAATAGGTCACTTGTTCTAACTGATATTCCAATTTAAAATATCATAGATCATTTTTCTGAGACAAGGACTGGAATGCGCACGTGACTGAATACGAATTTTGCCTAGCAACCATAATATTGATCTTTCTCCGAAAGTAGGATCTGAATCGAGTTGCAATCTCATATAATCGAATCTCAAAGTCGAAGAGGATGCTAACGACCGTGAATTCATGAAAGAACTGAGATTAGATGGTGATGATGCAGAATATCAAATCTCGATTCTTTTGGCCCAGAAGGTTTCCGGGTAAGTATGCTGGCAGATATAGAAGACCGCTCTCGCCTTATTAAAATGGCATTAGAGCATTTTCCTTGAGTCGTAATTAATTTACTAGCCTGGTGGTATGTCCTGCATTCAAGAAAGAGCATACAAAAGGTGTATATGCGGTGAGTTGGCAGTGTAAGTTGTTTATCAAAGTTGTAAAACAATTACGTCAAATTCGCTGTCATTAAGTCAAAAATGACGCAAGTAAAATTGCTTTAAAGGCTGATAAAATATAAAAACATATTCTTTCTTGTTTATCCATCCCGATCTCATCCCAAGGAGCTAAATTTTTCTTTTGCTGAATACAATTTCAGTTCCTATAACACTCATTTACTACTGGTGTGCGAAAGTCGAAACTGGTTTGACTTTTGACTTTTGTTTAAACAATAATCTATGAGTACTTTAAAATCTTTAAAAAATTTTAACTTTTGGAAAAAAAAGAGTTGCCGGATATTTTTCCTTTTTATTTTTACCATTATTTTTTTTTTGTACAGATTTTCCATCCGCACAAAAAATTTTTATATTAATATCCTTTTATACTGTATGCTTTAGTATAACTGTAACTTCACATGTCTTTCCCTTTATAATGTCATGAAATGCAAAAATATCATTATTCGGATCCAAGAAAGATTTGGTGACAATACCAGCATAAAATTTCGCTCGGATTTCTATATAAAACAAATCTACTATTACTATACCATGTTGGGATCACTTCCAAAGAGAATTCTGATATTTACGCATTAAACGGTAATAGCATTGATATCATTTTCTTTGGTAAATGCGGACAACTCTTGTATCAAATCTTGTTTTGTTTGCAGTAGAATTTGTTAAGGAGAATCAAGACCTTTATTGATCCCATCTATAGTACTTAAATTTCAATCGTGTTTTGATATTGTCAATTTTATAAATTATTATGCTATACAATCAATTGTTTCAGGGTGTCTGAAACTTTTGCCCAGGGGTATATATAGTAGTTTAATGTTTGATATGAAATTTAAAAAAACTTTAATATTTATAAAAAAAACCGTGTCATGTCCATGTCTAAATCATCAATTCAATATTCTAGTTCTAGTTCTAGTTCTAATTCACCATCTCCTTATTCCTATTCTGGTTCACTCTCCACTAATTCTAATTCTAATTCTAACTCTAATTCTGTTTCTTCTTCCTCCTCTTCTTCTAAAATTATTAACTCTGCTTCTTCTGTTAAACAAACAAACAATTGTCAAAATTCTTCAAAAACATCAAAGTTATCACTACCGTTTACTACCAATACAACGACAAAAAAAAATTCTAGTTGTCGTTCAACAAAAAGTATTTCTGGTTCATCTGAAAAATCAACTAATACTACTTCTAAACGGCCACAGACTTCAGCTTCGGTGCGTGGTAATGTTCGTGGAGAATCCCGTTCATTTTTTGTTGCAATAATTGAAGGAAGAGGTAATAAATAATAATATTTTAATAATAACATTATTAATTAGTCTAATTCATTCTGATCTGATAGGAGTTGCCAGTGAAGTTGGAATGTGTTTTATAGATTTAAAAACCAGTGAATGCATTTTATCACAGGTTTTTCTATTCTTTATTGATATAGTGTATGGGCCAACGATTTTTACATGATTGACGATATTTCTATATTATGCCAAAATCTACTGAAACTTTTGACATAAATAGAAACATCGTTTTAGATTATGTAAAAATCGGTGGGCAGTCGGTCCCATAAATGAAATAAATATTGATGTTTGGTAAATTTTTTAAAAGATTGCAGATTCACAAACTTATGTTAAAACATTACACAAATTAAATATTTATAATCCTGGAGAGGTATTATTATTATTTTTTTTTGTAAAAATCCATTATAATAAAATGATTAATTTTCACGCCTCTTGTATTTATTTTATTTATTTAAAGATATTGTTATCAGTTACAGCTGTTGAACCCTCCAAATCAAAACTATGTAAAATACTTGAAGATAATATACCATCGGCTATCATTGTTCCAATTGCAAGAAAATATTTTAACGATGCTGTTGGTATGTTGTAATGATTTTTTTATTCGTATTTATTGAGAAGATTTTTAATATTTTTATTTTTATTTTTTCTATGTGTAGGATTAAATTTTATCAAACAGGTATATAGGTAGATGGATTTGAAAATTTGAAAAACAAATCGCAGATCATTTATTTAGTATGTTTACATTTATAGTATGGATTGGAAGAAGATTCTGTATCATTGATTCTTGGATTAACTTCAAAGTAATAAATTCAATTATTATAGATCCAAATTAAAAAATTCAAAATTTATATTAATTTAATTTTTTCTATTTTTTAGATTTTATTGTTTAGCCTCAACTGCTGCCTTGCTTAGGCAAATATATCACAATGATCTGATGTAATTGATATAATAAAAAATAATCATAAACCTTAATATCCAATATTTCTATAGATATATTGGAAATACTCTTAACATATTTTTCACTAATCATTCAATAAAATTCAAATATCAAGGATGTGAAGGTAATAAATATATGTTTCATGACAAAATTTGATCTATTAATTTATTAAATAAATACTCTTTTTTTCTTGTCATATATAGGAACTATGATGATTGGCGAGTAGCTAAATTATAATAACATGTGCTATTGTCAATATCAATCAATATTAATGATCCCATTTAATTTAGATTTTGTTACTGCGCGTAATCTTGAATTAATTAATAATATGAATAATCAAAATAGTAATCATTCTTTATATGGTACTTAATTAATATTAATAATGACAATAATTATTATTGCAACATACATAGATGAATAATTTAATTCATTATATTATATACAGGTGTCTTGAATCGTACAGTGACACCTATGGGTGGTAACTTGTCATATATTGATTGATTGATCACATTAATCGTTTGTTAATATTCTCAATCTTCTCATCAAGGTTATAATTTTAATTATTAGGTCGTCTTCTTCGTACCAACATTTTACAACCTTTGACTGGTCTGTAATTAAGTCAATTGTTATTTTTTTTTCTTTTTCTTTTTATTAAAATATATATATTTATTTGATCATTTAATTATTTAGATATTGTCACAATTAATACTCGTTTAGATTCTGTGGAAGGTAAAAAATTAAATGATTAAATATCACATAGAATATATTATTCTAACAGTTATTCTTCTAAATTTTTATAGAACTTATAAGTAGTGAGGTATAAATTTGCTATTGATAAAAAGGTGATTTTTAAGGTGTTATAATAGTAGCTGACTTTTCTTTCTCCACTAAAATCAATAGGAAACATTTTTCTCAATTCAATCAGGTGTTTATGGTGGTTTATTTATTATATCTAGTGTTAATAACAAAATAACCAATAATAAATATTTTGTATTATTCTGATGGTTATAGCACTCAAACCTTTTCAGGATATTGACCATTTGATTACTGCGGTAATAAATTTTATTTAGAAATTCTTTTAAATCTTGTTTTCTAATTTTTTTAATTTTTTTGTTTAGTTGATTCAAATTCCAAGAAAACCTAATGTAAAAAGTGCAGAACAAAATATCAACAATGTGATTCTACTGAAACATACATTGACATTGATTAAATCGCTAAAAAATGCAATGTTTGGTATTAAAAATTCTTTGCTTGACACAATTTATCAGGTATGAGATAATCCTTTTTTTTAATTTTTATTTAAAAAGCATTTATATTCACTCATACAATTAAAATTATAGCTCTTAAACGATCCAGAATTACAAATACTAGAAGGAAAGATCCATCAAGTTATAAATGAAGATGTTACTTATCAAAAAAGTGCACTTGGTATTCGAAATCAACGTTGTTATGCTGTTAAGGTGATTAGCAAATTTCTTTTCTTTTCATTACCACCTTTTCTTTTCAACCATAAAAAATATTATAAATATATCTATGTATATATAATATAGTCAGGATTTAATGGATTGTTAGATGTTGGTAAGTTGAACTACACATATATAAAAATCATAATTATGATTGATTGATTGATCAATGTCTCTAATTGTTTTTTAAAAAAATGATATTTATAGCACGACAAACATATAAAGAAATGGTTGATGATACATTTGAAATGATTGAAAAATATAGCGGTAGACAATAATTTATCAAATTACATATATTTATATACTTGTATATAATAATAAATTTTTGATATAAAGAATAATATTATAATAATTAGAAAAAAATGAGATCCATTTGAAACCTCAATTCAGTGTATCAACTGGATATTATTTATCAACAAATATAGAGCATTTAGGTGATCGTCAACTTCCTCTTGTGTTCATTAATGTTAGCAAGAAAAAAAATTTGTTAACTTTTACAACTTTGGAATTGGTAAGTTGGTATCATCGTTGTAATATGACAATTAATTTTTTATCTTTTGGATCTAATATATAAATTATTCTATTTTTAGATTAAAAAAAATACAAAAATTAATGAATCTTTAACTGAAGTTTATCTAATGTCTGACAAGTTTCGTATATATATATATTATTTGTATTTGAATTTAGTTTTCTATAAGTTCAATAATATATTGATATTATTATTAGAATAATTGAAGATTTAATATTTGAAATTCGTGGCACAATCGGTGTACTTTATAAAGCATCTGAATCTGTAGCCATGTTGGATATGTTGACATCTTTTGCTCATCAATGCACCATCTCAAATTATGGTATGTGTATATGCAACATTTATCATCAAGATTAATATATAATTTTTAAATCATGCTGCCAATATTCATCGCCTATGGAATATATTTGAATAGTTCGTCCAGAATTCACAGATACATTGGCAATAAAATCTGGTCGACATCCTATGCGAGAATGTTTATTTGTTGTGGATCCATTTATTCCAAATGATACCTTTGCAAGTAACGCAACTAATTTTCAAATAATTACAGGGCCAAACATGAGTGGAAAAAGCACTTATTTGAAGCAAATTGCTTTGATGAGTATCATGTCACAAATTGGATCCTTGTAAGCATTTTTATGGTTTTTTTCTTTATTTATTAAGTTTTACGATAATAATTTTGATGATTGATTTTCTTTTTTTGGCAGAGTCCCAGCAGAATATGCATCATTTAGAATTGTTGACCAAGTAATTAATTGATTAAAATTTATCCTATTACTACAACTACAACTACAATTAATATTGTTATATATCTTATTTTAAAACAGATATTTACAAGGATTTGCAATGACAATAATATGGAAAGTAATACAAGTACATTTATCATAGAAATGCGAGAAACTGCATATATTTTACAACATGTGACAGATGAAAGTTTAGTGATAATTGACGAACTTGGAAGAGGTTCCTACTATTAATATTTTCTCAAGTATTGACAATGGTTTTTATAGGTTTGGCAAACTTTTAGTAAACTAATAAATTAATATTTTAATAGGAACATCTACACATGATGGATTAGGCATAACATATGCCGTATGTGAAGAATTAGTAAAGACTAAGGTAGATTCTAAATCTTACTTATCTTATTTAATATCTTATTTAATATCTTATTTAATATCTTATTTAATATTAGTTAATAAATATATTTATAAATGAATTTAGTAATAATAATAAAATAATATATATATTTAGGCATTCATATTCTTCGCAACACATTTTCATGAACTTACAAGAAGTCTAACCATTTATCCAAACGTAGTGAATTTACATTTAGAAATTGAGGTAATCGTTATAAATAATAATTATAATATAACATGATGTCATATCATTATTATATAATTAATCAACATATTGTTAATATGTAAAATTGATAGATTGGCAATGAAAAATTCGGAATAAGATATTTATATAAAGTCAAAGACGGAAGGAATGATGATGAACATTATGGTTCTCATTTCCATTTCCATTTTTAATTTTTAATTTTTAATTCAATTAATTGATTAATTTTGTTCTCTCCCACTAAATAAAAAAAATACAGGATTAAGGTTTGGACAATTAATTGGTTTACCAGATGATGTTATACAAAAGGCAACTGAAGTTTCTCATAAAGTAAATTTAATTCTTTTATTGAAAAGGAAAAAAATCTTATTGCATTTTTTAATTAGTTGGTTATTATGTTTATTATTATATAGTTAAAAGAATTGATTGATGCCAATAAAGAAAAATCATCCTCAAATAAAATTACCAAGAGAAGACAATTATTATTGCAGGTTAACACACTCTTTTCTTTTCCCTTTCTTTTTCTTTTTCTTTTCTAAACTTTGAATTAAAATTATGATTCCTTTGTTATTCAAGTTAATTGAACATCTGCTGCAAATAAAAAGATCGTCAAATCTGGATAAAGATAGTTTAAGAAGGTATCTTAAAATGGTTCAAGAAGGATTTATCACAAAGATGGAAGAGTTGATGTGACTATCATGGAAAAAGAAAATTTGCTGATTTACATATCTACTTATTAAATGTTTATTAAACTGCTTATTAAATTATTAAATAAATTTGTTTATTGTTTTTATTTATTATATAAATTAATATTGATAAACATTGATTAAATATTTAATTAGTTTTTTTTTTAAAATAAATAAAAATAATATTACATAATACCTAGCCACTAAAATCTTTCAATCAACTAATAACTGAGTATATTGATTTAACTATTAATCATTTATTTATTTAGCACTTTGTTTATACATCGACGTATCAAGGATTTGTTTACCACACATTGCACATATTCCTTGTTTATAAGCACATCCTATAACAAAAAATTTTTTAAAGAATATTGATTATTATTATTGCCTAACGACTTTATATTATTGATCTTGTTGATTTATTTTATTTACCTTGACAATAATGCGCATGTTCTTGATGCACTCTTGACTTACAAACTTTACATTTATTTTCATATGGTTTAAACCTGTTGGGTACAACTAAAGTTGTTATTAACATATTAAAAAGATATAACTAATTGACAACTAACCAGCAACCTATTAATAACCAATTGGTAACTAACCTATTTTTTCCTGGTTTAGATAACAATTTATTTTCATTTAATTTTCTATCCGTTCCAACTACAGTTATTATTATTATAATATTATATATAAGTTGATTCAAAAATATTTTTGTTAATTTCTTGTCCTTATTATTATTAGATCAGCATACCATTAACATTTCTTGAGCCTTCTTTCCATTTATCAGGACAAATAACTTTTGCTAATTTCTTTTCGCCTAATCAAAAAATAAACAATTGTTATTTTTTTTATGCTTTTATGTTTTTTTTTGCAAATTTATTTAACAATAATTTTAATATACATACACTTTGAACAAACCATTATTGCTGATTCTAATTAATTCTAATTATTAATTTACAACGATTTTGGGATTTTCTATAGTAATAAGAGTATTTTATTAAAGGTTACACGATATACTTGTGGGAAAGTTGAAAGTTTATTACGTAATGAAGGAGAGAGTAGGTGGGCTTAAAATAGCAATAATAATAATCTTTATGTACTGTAGAACAATAATTTTCATCCTAATAACCAATGCTTGTTGCCTTTGAGCAAACGTACGATTATTAAAGATAATTCTTAAGATGAAAAACTTTACCTCTAGACTAAGTTGATGCGATAAAAATTTAGGAGTTCACTTTCATACTTTGATGGGTGGGTCTAGAATTTCTCGCCTGGGTTGTTTGTGAAGGATCTATTGACGACATTTAGCTTATTACCAGAAGCAGCTATCCCTATGACTGATTCTGTTGATATAATTCAATTCAACTGTAGTTGTTTTAGCACAACGGTAACCCACATTGGGATAAGAAAAAATATCTAGGTAATCTGACACCCAAGTTCAATATGTCAAATCATTATCCTTTACGAAATGAATGTCTGCTCGCAAAGTTTTTTTTTTTTGGAAGTAATTCTACAAGCTTGAAATTGTACATAATCAGAAGGGAACCCCAAAGATACAATTAAAGAAAGGTTCAACCACTAAAACTTTTCCACTACCACTTGGATGGTAAGGCGAAAATTCAAGCTTTTTTCAAAATTGGTTTTTTAAAGCTTCATTTCTACATAGTCTTAGTATTATCATTGCCTAACAATCATTTTAATAACAAATCGGCTGCTTATTAATTCATTAAGGAGAAAGTCAAAAAGAAAGGTTGTAAATTGAAAGTCATTTCATTTACGGTAAATTTTTATGAAAAAAAATTAATCAAGCGTGGCGCATATTGATTGGGCAATTACACCATGTTTCCAGCCTCGTTTATAAAACAACCTCTAATATCTTACCTATAAAGGAAAAGACATCACCTTTTTGGGGAAAGACTCCAATTTCTTTAATTATGAATGAATGAATGGGCCAATGTTTTCGTGTAACATTATCAGACCCCAAATATTCATTTTCTGATAATAATAATCTAATTTTTTTTTTGTTTTATTGATATATTAAGATGGTAATAAAAATTTTTAATTATTTTAAACTGTAATTAGGATAATGAGCAATGATAGATAATTTCTTTCAAACATTATTAATTATTGCAATATATATATATAGGCTAAAAAAGAAGCAGCAACTAAAAGCTCCTCATCCGGAGGTAAAAATAAAAAAAAGGTAGCGTAGATAAATTTACCAAGATTATAAAATAATTTTTGCCTTTTAAATTATATTCACCAAAATTTAAATGAATAGAAATGGTCTAAAGGAAAAGTTAAAGATAAAGCAAACAACGCAGTAGTGTTGGATAAAGCTACGTACGATAAATTATTCAAAGAAGTACCAGCATATAAATTAATTACACCTTCTGTATTAGTTGACCGTCTTCATGTCAATGGATCTCTTGCAAGAGTTGCAATTCGTGAATTGGCAGAAAAAGGACTAATCCGTAAGATTTCCACTCATGGGTCTCAACTTATCTACAGTATGTATAAATAAACAAATGACTTTTAAATAATTTATTTTGATTTGAAATTCACTTTTTATTTATTTATTTATTTCAATGATTTAGCTCGTAATCCTGGTTCTGCTGCTTAATAATCGAAATTATTATTATTATTATAATGAGAATTTTCTATTTTGATATATATTATATTTTTAAAATGTTTACTTTTTAAAAAAGAAAAAAAAATATTAAATAAACAATTAATAATTTTTTTATTATTAAAATCATATATATATATATAAATATATTCTTTTTATCTAACGATATTAACATTATTAATACTATTATCAAAAATGAAAAAATTCTCTGATTCATATATAATGAATTCTAGGTCTTGATATTTTTGTAATAATTCAATTGTTTCTTTTCTTTCTATAGAAAATGCATCATATCGATAATTTCTTATTTTAAGAGGTTTAGGCGCTTTCCAATTTTTCATCAAATTATTCAAATAATAATTATCTTTATTATCATCAGAAATACTATATAAACCATCAAAAATAATAGTGTTTAAATTATTTGGTAACGACAGACTTAATGCTTCGAATATTCTATCACCATCTATAACCATATTATCTGGATGAAATTGAATGCTTTCTAATTTTTTACAATTATTAAATATACAGATTAGTTCCCAGTTTAATGCTTTCTTATTATAGGTTATTGCTAAATGTTCTAAATTTACACAATTTTTTGCAATTGATTGAAACATTTTTTCCATGTTCATTTTATCATTTGCTTCACCACCAATTTCTAAAACCTTGAGATTTTCTCCATTGATTTTCAAAAAATCAGATAACTCCAATAGAAATGGCTGATAAAAGATTGTTATACAAAGGACTTCAATATTTGGAAGTACAACAGATTTTATACTTGATATTTTATAATTATTATCTGATCTTCTGTTATAATCGTGTAATGACAACTTCTTTAAGTTTTGAAATGTTGCTATTAAGGAATCTATTTTGGCCTCACCAATACTTTTATAATGAAATATTGATTGTGAATGAGTTGAAATTGCTTGTTTCAGGTCATCGGATAAAGATATAGTCATTTTATAGGGTACATTGACAGACAATTGTTTAATTTGATTTTGAGCATGAATTAATTGAGCTAGGCTACGATAGACATCTTCTTCATTATACAAAGGATTTTTAATACAACCATCTATTTTTAAAATTTGAATATTTTTACAATAATTTGCTAATTTGTCAAAGAACTCACAATCATAAAAATTAAGTTGTAATTCAACAAGACTCCGAAAACAAATGCCAAAGCTAGGATGATCAACCATCCATTTACAATCAAAACTAGAAATAGCGCTAAACATCTTGATGTTGGTTGAATGATCTAGAATAAATTTTACCAGTCGTACTTTTAAACAATTAAGTTCATCAGAATTTTTTGATTTTATGCTCAAACTCATAATGCCATGAATAGGACTATACCTAAAATCCAATCGAGTAGCAAACCTTGCATAATTGTATAGCGGTGGTCTGTCTGATAATTCAAAAGCTTCCAAAATGTTGTGTTTCACCAAAAAATTTTCGTCTTCTTCTAATAAACATTTGATTAGTGTTTTGATGCTGCCCTCTGTGCAAAAGGGATTTCTCCATATTTTTGGAATATTGATATTTTGCCATTGTTTATTAACTCGAATACATGAGTACAATGTTTTGTAATCATTTTCAAAATATTTGAATATTGTAACGAAAAGTTCTAGTGGTAAAGTTGTTGAGAGCATTTCCTTTAAAATTAGAAGATCGTAATTTATTTCACAGGCTCTACAATTTGCAACGGTGACTCGGAGAAATACACATCTATCTGTACAACATACTAAGTTCTTACCTTTGATATAAACAGAAACAAATTGTTGAGTTAAAAGTAACAGTTGCTGTTGTTGTACTACCACTTGCAGCCATTACTATTACTGTTGAAAAAGGGGTTCAAGCCACATTTCTGTCCTTTTCAAGTTTAGTCGTGAATAATAGAAAAAGACAGGGGTGATCTTCAAAAAAATAAAAAAGACGTGGGTGGGTAGTTAATATTAACGTGGAGCTACGTAATTTTAGAAATAGATAATTGCTCGCCTCCATTTACTTATTATCTAAAATCCTGATTATAATAAAATCGAGATTAAACCACTTCAAGTATTTCACAAGTAAATTTACGTTCAGAGCTAAAAAAATATATAATAGGTCACTTGTTCTAACTGATATTCCAATTTAAAATATCATAGATCATTTTTCTGAGACAAGGACTGGAATGCGCACGTGACTGAATACGAATTTTGCCTAGCAACCATAATATTGATCTTTCTCCGAAAGTAGGATCTGAATCGAGTTGCAATCTCATATAATCGAATCTCAAAGTCGAAGAGGATGCTAACGACCGTGAATTCATGAAAGAACTGAGATTAGATGGTGATGATGCAGAATATCAAATCTCGATTCTTTTGGCCCAGAAGGTTTCCGGGTAAGTATGCTGGCAGATATAGAAGACCGCTCTCGCCTTATTAAAATGGCATTAGAGCATTTTCCTTGAGTCGTAATTAATTTACTAGCCTGGTGGTATGTCCTGCATTCAAGAAAGAGCATACAAAAGGTGTATATGCGGTGAGTTGGCAGTGTAAGTTGTTTATCAAAGTTGTAAAACAATTACGTCAAATTCGCTGTCATTAAGTCAAAAATGACGCAAGTAAAATTGCTTTAAAGGCTGATAAAATATAAAAACATATTCTTTCTTGTTTATCCATCCCGATCTCATCCCAAGGAGCTAAATTTTTCTTTTGCTGAATACAATTTCAGTTCCTATAACACTCATTTACTACTGGTGTGCGAAAGTCGAAACTGGTTTGACTTTTGACTTTTGTTTAAACAATAATCTATGAGTACTTTAAAATCTTTAAAAAATTTTAACTTTTGGAAAAAAAAGAGTTGCCGGATATTTTTCCTTTTTATTTTTACCATTATTTTTTTTTTGTACAGATTTTCCATCCGCACAAAAAATTTTTATATTAATATCCTTTTATACTGTATGCTTTAGTATAACTGTAACTTCACATGTCTTTCCCTTTATAATGTCATGAAATGCAAAAATATCATTACTCGGATCCAAGAAAGATTTGGTGACAATACCATCATAAAATTTCGCTCGGATTTCTATATAAAACAAATCTACTATTACTATACCATGTTGGGATCACTTCCAAAGAGAATTCTGATATTTACGCATTAAACGGTAATAGCATTGATATCATTTTCTTTGGTAAATGCGGACAACTCTTGTATCAAATCTTGTTTTGTTTGCAGTAGAATTTGTTAAGGAGAATCAAGACCTTTATTGATCCCATCTATAGTACTTAAATTTCAATCGTGTTTTGATATTGTC